GCAGGGATGTGCCGGCCACTTGCAGGGTCAGGGCAGGCAGGGAACCTGCCTTAGCCCTGCTGGACTTTTAGCAGTTTAAAATCTCTCCAATTGGCTTCAGTAGCCTCTGGGAGATTAAGCCCAATTCCGGGAGACTCCTGGCAAAACTGGAAGGATTGCCAACCCCATCTGTATCCCTAGTTGACCAATGTATATTGTCTGTCTTACAACCTGAGTCTATTTCCATGCATAACTCAAATGCTCATGAGACAATTGAGGGGATTTCAAAAGGCAAATTAAACATGAACACCACAGCAGGAGAAACACCTACATTAGAGATGAAAAACAAAAGACTGGTCTAGTATATGTGGAGGAGGGGAAGATAAGCAACCCGCAGGTTTGGCCTGACAAAAGACAGATTTCAACCAGCCAGGTGGGAAAATGTTGTAAGAATAACTTTGGGGTAAGAAATATGTTGCCAAATAAGAGGACATCTTGTTAATTGAGTTTAGATGCTACACTGCGAGTTACATAAAACCAAGTCAGGTAAATCTTTTAGTTTGTTTCCAGCATTTCTGTGTAAATATACTTGCTTTCTCTAATTTTGCTATCATATGAACCTCTATAAAGAAACCTAAGTGCAGTGTGCTAGGCAGAGAGGTGTTCTAAGCTGTAACTAGTAAACTAGAGTGTACAAATCCTTTGTAAACAGCTGCCCTGATAATTCAGTGACTGACCAGTACATAAGGGCCTGGGACACTACAGAGAGACACTCAGAGCACCTGGGGTGTGGACTATGCCTATTGCTAGACTGCATCAGGGACAGCGAAGCACACACGGAGTAAAAATGCAGTGCTTCTATTCCCTGGGGCTAGTTGAGGCAAGGAGCTGACCCCAGGCAGGCACATACAAGGCTTTCTCCCAACCCTCTGTATCCCTGAGAAGCATCACACAAGCTTTGAAATGTGCAAAATGAGACAGAGAAAAAAATCATACCTTTAGAAAACATGACCTATGACAAAAGCTTGACAAAATGGGAAAGGCTTAATATAGACAAAAGACAGCTCAGGGGAGGGCACAAAAAGTCTTCAAATATGTAAAAGGTTCTTGTAAAGAGGACACTGGTCAGCTGATTAATTGTGGTCCAAGCCTCCGTGAACATGGAAGGCAGGTGATTTCCAACAAGGCAAACTGAACTCTGATATTAACAGAAAACTTTTTAATTGTAAAGGTAGTTAGCACCAGAATAGAGTGTGTGAGGATGTTGTGAAATGCCCATCATTGGAGCTTTATAACGACAAGGTACGTGTTTGTCTATCAGAAATGGTCTAGATATACTTATTCCTGCTTCAGCATAGTAGAAAAGGCTACGTTACCTCCTGAAGGCCCTTCCAACTCTACATTTCTGCAATCTGCTTTCCTGTAGCACTGCTGTACTCTTCTAGAAACATTGTAAAGAGTGCTTTGACAATTAAATTCTTGACATACTCAAATCTGCCCTATAATAACAACAAAACCTATACACCTTGCCCAGCATGCTAGTGCTGAGTTTAGAGCAGCGGTTATCAGCGAGTTATCTTAAGTGCCTATACACAAATGCAAGAAGCCTGGGAAAGAAGCAGGGAGAACTGGGTCAGTCAAGGAATTATGATGTGACTGGAATAACAGAGACCTGGTGGGATAACTCACATGACTGGAGTACTGTCATGGATGGATATAAACTGTTCAGGAGGGACAGGCAAGGCAGAAAAGGTGGGGGAGTTGCATTGTATGTAAGAGAGCAGTATGACTGCTCAGAGCTCCGGTATGAAACTGCAGAAAAATCTGAGTGGCTCTGGATTAAGTTTAGAACGGTGAGCAACAAGGATAATGTCATAGTGGGAGTCTGCTATAGACCACCAGACCAGGGGGATGGGGTGGACGAGGCTTTCTTCGGGCAACTAACATAAAATTACTAGATCACAGGCCCTGGTTCTCATGGGGGACTTTAATCATCCTGATATCTGCTGGGAGAGCAATACAGCGGTGCACAGACAATCCAGGAAGTTTTTGGAAAGTATAGGGGACAATTTCCTGGTGCAAGTGCTGGAGGAACCAACTAGGGGCAGAGCTCTCCTTGACCTGCTGCTCACAAACAGGGAAGAATTAGTAAGGGAAGCGAAAGTGGACGGGAACCTGGGAGGCAGTGACCATGAGATGGTCGAGTTCAGGATCCTGACACAAGGAAGAAAGGAGAGCAGCAGAATACGGAGCTTGGACTTCATAAAAGCAGACTGACTCCCTCAGGGAACTGATGGGCAGGATCCCCTGGGAGACCAGGGAGAATAACATGAGGGGGAAAGGAGTCCAGGAGAGCTGGCTGTATTTTAAAGAATCCTTACTGAGGTTGCAGGAACAAACCATCCCGATCTGTAGAAAGAATAGTAAATATGGCAAGCGACCAGTTTGGCTTAACGGTGAAATCCTTGCTGATCTTAAACACAAAAAAGTAGCTTACAAGAAGTGGAAGATTGGACAAATGACCAGGGAGGATATTGCTCAGGCGTGCAGGAGTGAATCAGGAAGGCCAAATCACACTTGGAGTTGCAGCTAGCAAGGGATGTTAAGAGTAACAAGAAGGGGTTCTACACATGTTAGCAACAAGAAGGTGGTCAGGGAAAGTGTGGGCCCCTTACGGAATGGGGGAGGCAACCTAGTGACAGAGGATGTGGAAAAAGCTAATGTACTCACTGCTTTTTTTGCCTCTGTCTTCACGAACAAGGTCAGCTCACAGACTACTGCACTGGGAAACACAGTATGGGGAGGAGGTGACCAGCCCTCTCTGTAGAAAGAAGTGGTTCAGGAATATTTAGAAAAGCTGGACGAGCACAAGTCCATGGGGCCGGATGCGCTGCATCCAAGAGTGCTAAAGGAGTTGACGGATGTGATTGCAGAGCCATTGACCATTATCTTTGAAAACTTGTGGCAATCTTGGGAGGTCCCAGATGACTGGAAAAAGGCTAATGTAGTGCCCATCTTTAAAAAAGGGAAGGAGGAGGATCCGGGGAACTACAGGCTGGTCAGCCTCACCTCAGTCCCTGGAAAAATCATGGAGCAGGTCCTCAAGGAATCAATTCTGAAGCACTTAGAGGAGAGGAAAGTGATCAGGAACAGTCAGCATGGATTCATCAAGGGCAAGTCATGCCTGACTAACCTAATTGCCTTCTATGATGAAATAACTGGCTCTGCAGATGAGGGGAAAGCAGTGGACATGTTATTGCTTGACTTTAGCAAAGCTTTTCATACAATCTCCCACAGTATTCTTGACGGCAAGTTAAAGAATTATGGGTTGGATGAATGGACTATAAGGTGGATAGAAAGCTGACTAGATGGTTGGGCTCAACAGGTAGTGATCAATGTCTCCATACCTAGTTGGAAGCCGGTATCAAGCGGAGTGCCCCAAGGGTCAGTCCTGGGGCCAGTTTTGTTCAATATCTTCATTAATGATCTGGAAGATGATGTGGATTGCACCCTCAGCAAGTTTGCGGAAGACACTAAACTGGGAGGAGTGGTAGACACGCTGGAAGGTAGTGATAGGATACAGAGGGACCTAGACAAATTAGAGGATTGGGCCAAAAGAAATCTGATGAGGTTCAACAAGGACAAGTGCAGAGTCCTGCTCTTAGGATGGAAGAACCCCGTGTAATGCTACAAACTAGGGACCAAGTGACTAAGCAGCAGTTCTGCAGAAAAGGACCTAGGGTTTACAATGGACAAGAAGCTGGATATGAGTCAACACTGTGCCCTTGTTGACAAGAAGGCTAACGGCATTTTGGGCCGTATAAGTAGGGGCATTGCCAGCAGATCAAGGGACGTGATCATTCCCCTCTATTCAGCATTGGTGAGGCCTCATCTGGAGTACTGTGTCCAATTTTGGGCCCTACACTACAAGAAGGATGTGGAAAAATTGGAAAGAGTCTAGCGGAGGACAACAAAAATGATTAGGGGGCTGGAGCACATGACTTACGAGGAGAGGCCAAGAGAACTGGGATTGTTTAGTCTGCAAAAGAGAAGAATGAGGGGGATTTCAACTACCTGAAATGGGGTTCCAAAGAGGATGAATCTAGACTGTTCTCAGTGGTACCAGATGACAGAACGAGGAGTAATGGTCTCAAGTTGCAGTAGGGGAGGTTTAGGTTGGATATTAGGAAAAACTTTTTCACTAGGAGGGTGGTGAAGCACTGGAATGGGTTACCTAGGGAGGTGGTGGAATCTCCTCCTGAGGTCCTTTCCAACCCTGATATTCTATGAATACTACAGCAAGTACAGATGAGGAATTCAAAGCACTGATTGCTTACTCACAGCCAGTTATGCGGGAGGCAGAAAGCTGAGGACTGTTCACGTCTGCTTAGAAGGATGTTGAAGCTGCTCAGGGCCACCTCTGCCAGTTTCTCCTCCGGCTAGGGCTCCTGGACAATTCCTTCAAAGAGCAGATGCAAAATCCAAGCACGAGCCATCACTACACACAGCTCTATTGGAACTTGAAATCTTGCCCTCATCCCTGCCTCCCTCTTCCATTCCATCTACATCGGCACCACTTCATGAACAGAGATAGAGTTAACACCGACAGTCACCACTCCACTCTCACACCCCCTGCCCTGCATGATTTTGGTCCCCTCCTACTTCTCCATGGCTCCTGAGACATAGGCTGTGTGGATGATGCACACCTAGCACGCCTGTCCGTGTCCTACAAAGGGAGACCAAACAAGAAAAGACAAGGACAGTGGGGGGGGGGGGAGGGGTGTTGGTCAACATACTGGACGGGAAGAGAGAGAGAGAGAGAGAGAGAGAGAAAGAAAATCACAAGCAAGCAACTGACCACCTGGAGTCATCCACCTAGATCTAACCTTCTGCTGTGGAGGACATATTGCTCTTGGCCAGAGAAATTATCAGCCCCTGAATTTGGGGACCTTGTCTCCCTCGTAACCACAGCTAGTCAAGAACATTTTCTTACAAACCCAGCCCCAGCTAAGGGTGTGTCCCTACATAGAGACAGATGGGCCATGAACAGACCAATCACCAAATCAGACACTTATCTCACTGACAGTGGTGACTGTTGAGCTCCACGATGGACGGCTTTTGCATGGCATCAACAATGCTCACGATCGCTTTCCATCACATTAGGGCAGTGGATTCTCACGCGTGGTGACTTCTCCCTTGGTAGTAAACCCAGCACAAGGGGGGAAAACAAATCAGTTACCATCTCAGTCAGCAACATCTCATAGGCTCTTCTTTTCACCTCTCCCGCATGGCGGGGCTCCGCCCTCAACCCTCTTCCCATTACACCTTTAGCATTACAACCAAAAAGCACCACTGGCAACGGCACCCGACATAGTCACTCTGCACAGCAGACTCTGGCCCCTCCCCAGCCCTAATACCACAGAGCCCAGAAAACTAGAGTGGTACAGATGAGGAATAGAGTGCCATAATTGTTCACTCACAGCCAATCATGGAGAAGACAGAAAGCGGAGGACTGTTCATCTCTGCTTACAAGGATGTCCAGGCTGCTCAGATCCTCTTCTTCCAGCTTCTCCTCTGGCTGGGGCTCCTGGATGATCCCTCCACAAACACAGCATATAACCCAAGCAGGAGCCATCACTGCCCAAAGTTCTATTGGTGTATGAGATACTGCCTTCCCTCTCCCATCCGCTGTAGATCAGCCCCACTTGATGAACAGTGACAGTCAACTCCCACAGTCACCTCACCACTACCAATGGAGGATCTAGTATCCATCGTGATTCTCTTCCCCCTCCCAATGCCCCAGTGGGATGCAGACTCTCCAGACCAAGCCTGTGAGCATGCACCATTGCCCATGTTCTATGCAAGGAGTCAGTACAAGGAGAGAGAGAGAGGGCACACGCATGTTGGCAAACATATGAGAACTCAGAGAGAGAGAGAGAGAGAGAGACGCACATAGGAAGAAGGACAAACTCAGCACCAGTAGTCACCTTTCTGGTTCCAGGCCTCTGCTCAGGTGAACATGCTCCTCCCTGTCCTGGAAGATCAGCTGCTCCCAAGATAGGGAAATTCTCCCTCTGCACCCAGAACAAGGAGGAAAACTTTTATTACAAACCGAGCCCCACCTAAAGGGAAGCAGCCATCTGTACTCAGCCTTTACCACACATTTATCTTAGAGGCCACCTGGGGTATTTCTCAGAATGCAGCTGCCCTGGAGCAACAGTGACATCCGGTGGCCAATCACGGCAATGCACAGAGCATGTCCCCCATGCAGCAGCAGTGACGCTTGGTGGCCACTCGCGACAAAGCACAAAGCATTTTCCTCGTGTAGCAACAGTGACACTATGTGGCCACTCCGGGTAACACAGAAACCATTTCCCTCCACAGCGCTGCAATGACACTCGGTGGCCAGATGAGGAAATGCGCAGAGTGCATCTGCCCTGGAGAAGCGGTGACAGCCTGTAGTCAGCAGGGTCAGCACCAACCCCTTACTCATGGGGGGAGCTGAGGTGGGGTAGACAGAAACTTGTGGCAGCTGCATCCCCACCCTCCACCACCAGGCCTTGCCCCTCTCTGTGGCTCTTCCTCACTGAACTGCAAGTCCCACCTCAGAGGCTCCAGCCCTTCACCAGCTCAGAGGCCAGAAGCTGGAAGCCAGAGCCAGGCAGGGTGGGACGACTGCTGCGCTAGGTGGCGCAATGATGTGGGCAGCCACAATGCTCCCCTATTTTGTCCTTGTGCTGGTTGGTGTCCCAGGGCTGTGGCTGCTTCTCAGTTCCCTGCCACCCTTCAACCGCTCACAGACCTCAAGAGCCACCTGCGTGGGGGTCCGGCTCCAGGGCCAGCATAGCCCTCAGGGAGCCAGGCATCTCCAGCCTTCTTCTCTAGCAGCAACTGAGCACCAGGGGAGCCACACAAGGGTCTCCTTTGAAACAAGGACGCATGCCATTGCACCTTGCGTAACAGACTCATCATTAATCCTCAGAAGGCCAATCCGGATCTCCAGAAGCTAAGCCCTAATGTGCTAGCATCCGGAGCTCCAAAGCCACTAGCCCTTCCCTCTTTGAAACCATCTGCCTCCATCTGGCTTTGCAGCCCCAGTGGCGAAGCAGACCCAGCTGCTCACACATGGCAGTCCACCCCCAGCCCCTGGGTGAAGCGGTGTTTGGATGGGCTTGTGGAAAGCAATTCTCAGGCCCATGGACAAAACTCATTTAATTGTAAAACAAAACTTGACTCATGACAAAGTGCGATTGGCTTCAGGCAACAGTAGTTTATATAAAAGGGAAGGCTGCCCCATCGGGGAACTGAAACAACTGCATGTGACTTAAGTGGCCAATCACAGAGCTCCAACAACTAATTCCAAGCTCTGATGAGCTGTATGAACAACCCCAGTGGCCGAGATGCATCTGCATAAAATCTCTGTCCAGCCATTTCCAGCAACAAGCAGATTTGTAAGGATGGGCAAAGGCAGAGCAGGGCAGAGCACGCCAGGCTGGCACAGCCCTTACCTTGCACCAGCAGGTTGATGATGGTATCAAAGCCCCAGGTGTTGGTGGTGGTGCAGGCGTAATACCCAGAATCCTCTGCTTTCACTGAGCGCAGGACCACTGTGCCGTTGGCCTGGATCAGCCGGTGCCCGTCCACCGCCACCGGGATGGCAGAATCTTCACTGCAAGGAACAAGAAATGCCAGCAGCTCATCAGCATAAATCCCTACTCGCGCCTCCCAGCAGCAAGAAGCTCCCAGCACATAGATGGGGCTCCAGAGCGTGTTGCCCCAGGAGCCCAAGAGCTGCCCAGATGGCATGTAGCGCTGCCTGGCCACTCTTCCATTCCACAGGCCAAAGGCCAGGCAGAGCCCCCAAACAAAAGGTCAGCTCCTCCAGGAAAAAGGACCTCTGGAGCTTTTCGCTTTTGCCACCTCCCTGCCACAGGATCAGGGCTCCTCCCGAGAGGCTGCATGGTGGGGAAAAGGTAGGCTTTAGTTACCTGTCCTTTGTCCATTTAATGGCAAGGGCCAGCTCCCCAACCGAACTGCACGGCAGCCTCACGTCCTTCATCCACGGAGTGGTGACAGTGCCGCCAAAGGAAATTATCTTGGCTGGGGCTGTGGGGGGAAGGGAACGTCAGTCTGGCCGGACGAGCCACGCACACAGAGCCTGCTTATCCCACCAGTGCAGACCCCACCCTGCTGCACCAGGGGCTGAGATTCACCACCTTTGTCCATGCCGCAGAACCTGCTCCAAGCCAACGGCAGTCGGAGTAGCCGGCGCATCGCGAGGTGCTGGCTACGGCGAGTCCTGGAGACGAGGGGCCAACCCAGAGCCAGCACCAGGGCACGTGTCAAACCCGAGCCTGGATCCAGAGTGTGCAGTGGGCCCCCCAGGCTCTACACTGAGCCCAATCTAAATGCCAGATGACCTTGCCCCTCCCCCCAGGACTCTGTTACCCAGAGAGAGACCCAGCTCCCCTCCAATCAGCCCCACTGCCCCCCTGCCCCACCCCATCTGCCCACCTCACCCCACAGGCCCTGCCGCACCTTTCCCAGCAGGCTCAATGGTGACCTTTTCACTGATGTTGCCGCAACCCGCCGAGGTCACGGCCGCCACCCACAGCATGTACTGCTGCCCGCGGTTGAGGTGGGCGATGCGGTAGAAGAGTTGCTCAGGGCTGGTCTCGTACTCTCTGGGGGCCTGGCGGGGGGAAGTAGGGGACGCAGCTGGTTAACCAGGACAAGGTGAACACCCTTTTATGCACCTCTTTCTGCCCAGGCTTTGATGCAGCCACCAACCCCGCCCCCTCCGTCCTCTCTCCCCCCCCACCCCACCAGTACGGCCATACGAGTCATAGCAACAGTCTGGGCAACCTAACCCCTGCTCGGACAAGTCCTGGCTTTTAGGGACCACCCGAGATTATCCTTGTGTGAGGCCACCATCTCGGCTGACCCCAACGATCAGACAGGGACCTGCAGAGATAAATGCTGGAGCTTTTGCTAATGAGCACAGACTCCACTGCTGGGGCGGATCAACCCACAGAGATCGGGCACAGAGGGACAACCTGTAACACAGCTACATTTAGGGAGTGGGCAGGCAGACACTCCAGGCAGGGCTATTTGCCAGGAAAGTTTCCCTAAAAAGTGGTGGAAGCCCCACCATTTTGGGTATTTTTATCTAGATTAAGCAAATTGTTATATGTTATTATTTACTACAGTGCTCTTCACTATCTTTGAAGTGGGGGCCACTTTGGGAAAAAACCTTCAATGTGAGAGCCGGATGGGGCCGAGGGGTTCGGACTGTGGAAGGTGGCCCAGGGTAGGGTGGGGTGGGGGGTGAGGGCTCTGGCTGGGGCTGAGGGGTCTGGGGTGGAGCTGTGGATGAGGGGTTTGGGGTGTGGGAGGGGCTCAGGGCTGGGGCAGAGGGTTGGGGTGTGGGGTGGGGCCAGGGATGAGGGGTTCAGGAGGGGGCTCAGGGCTGGGGCAGAGGGTTGGGATGCGGGGGGAGAGCTCTGGCTGGGGGTTCAGGCTCTAGGGTGGGGCCAGGCATGAGCAGTTTGGGGTGCAGGCAGGCTGCCCCAGGGCTGGGGCCAGAGGACTCCCCCCAGCAGGAAGACCGACAGGGAGGGAGCAGGGAGCTCCGGAGAAGGGCCCTCTCTCCCCCTTGCCGGCAGCAGGGAGCTCCGGTCCCGGGGAGAGGCCCACAGCAGCCCTGCAAGCCCCAACTTGCTCCCCTCTCCAGTTCCCGCCCACCCCCTACCTCTCTCCTCTTCAGGTCCCTGCCGCGTGGCCCTTTAGAGCTGCTGCACGGCTAGTTATAGCCAGCTCCGTGGCCGCGCAGCTTAGAGGGAACTTAGCGCACTTAGGGTCGATGGGAGCTGCCACTGGCTCGCGGGCCTTGCAATGCAGAACACTGATTTATTATCTGAATTATCGTAGCAAATGGCCCATAACCCCATTGTGCTAGGCGCTGTACGCAAAGGGAATAAAGAGACAGTCCCTGCCCCAGTCTATGCCATCTCTAACATTAACAACTCCTGGCTAATGTCCTATGTAAGGAACAGCCCCAAATCCCTGCCTTTGCATCTCTTCTGAACAACACGGGGATAGCAACACTTGCTTCTCCAGCCCCATGACGCACCCAAACAACTCTGTAGTTCAGTTAACACACAGCTGCAGGGGCTGGGGGCGCTGCCCTCACAGGTGTTCCCCTTACCTTGCTCTCTGATGGGCTGGGAGCACAGAGCGCAGTTTGTATGGGAGCAGGGCAGCAGCAGCTGCTCCTGAGGACTTCCAATAAAAGACATAAGAACGTAAGAATGGCCCTACCGGGTCAGACCCAGGGTCCATCTAGCCCAGTATTCTGTCTTCCCACAGTGGCCAGTGCCAGGTGCCCCGGAGGTAATGAACAGAACAGGGAATCATCAAGTGATCCATCCCCTGTCGCCCATTCCCAGCTTCTGGCAAACAGAGGCTAGGGACACCATCCCTGCGCCTCCTGGCTAATAGCCATTGATGCATTTATCCTCCGTGAATTTATCTAGTTCTTTTTTGAACCCTGTTATAGTCTTGGCCTTCACAACATCCTCTGGCAAGGAGTTCCACAGGTTGACTCTGCATTGTGTGAAGAAATACTTGCTTTTATTTGTTTTAAACCTGCTGCCTATTAATTTCATTTGGTGACCCCTAGTTCTTCTCTTATGAGAAGTAGTAAACAATACGTCCTTATCTACTTTCTCTACACCAGTCATGATTTTATAGACCTCAATCATATCTCCCCTCAGACGTCTCTTTTCCAAGCTGAAAAGTCTCAGTCTTATTAATCTCTCCTCATACGGAAGCCGTTCCATACCCCTAATCATTTTTGTTGCCCTTTTCTGAATCTTTTCCAATTCCAATATATCTTTTTTGGGATGGGACGACCACATCTGCACACAGTATTCAAGATGTGGGCATACCATGGATTTATATAGAGGCAACATGATATTTTCTACTCTAACTTTTAACCAGTTACCAATCCATAAGAGCACCTTCCCTCTTATCCCATGACAGCTTACTTTGCGTAAGAGCAGGGGTTCTCAAACTGGCAGTTGGGACCCCTCAGGAGGTCACAAGGTTATTACATGGGAGGTCACGAGCTGTCAACCTCCACCCCAACCCCCGCTTTGCCTCCAGCATTTATAATAGTGTTAAATATGTAAAAAAGTGTTTTTAATTTATAAGGTGGGGGTCACACACAGAGGCTTGCTATGTGAAAGGGGTCACCAGTACAAAAGTTTGAGAACCGCTGCATAAGAGTCTTTGGTGAGGGACCTTGTCAAAGGCTTTCTGAAAATCTAAGTACACTATAGCCACTGGATCCCCTTGCTCCACATGCTTGTTGACCCCCTCAAAGAAGTCAACGTTTAGTGGTCCAGCACCTCTCCCTGTTGTCTGCGTATGTCCCCAAGGAGGGAGAATTATAGCAGGCAGGCAGGAGAGACACGGGAAGGTGGGTGTGGTCGAGCTCTGGAAACACACCAGGCCTCTCGCTGGTATGTAAAGGGAAGCTAGGAAAATCTGCAACCCCCCCATCAATCTTCCCCGCCGCCACATCCCCTTCCTCTGCCGAGGATCCATCAGCCCGAGGAGGTAGAAGGGTCAAGATGAGAGAGCCACCCCCCGCCCTCACAATCACTGGAGAGGCCAGGTACACTCAGAGCAGCTCGCTCTCTCTGTGTTGGTTTGCTTGGCTCTAGTTTCTGAAAGCTAATTCAGCGTCGTTTGGCATTTCTCAATGCCGGTGTAAACTGGCTGGTGTCATCATTTCTCCAGGGAGCCCAGTTCCGAGGTTCAGGAACAGATGGTGGCATCGGTGTGATGTGTTCCAGCGATATCGCACTTCCGAGGGCCCACGGTCCCGTCTGCCGATCTATAGCAGGAGCAGGGCAGGCTGGGAGGGCAGGAGCCCATGATGGCCCGATGAAAAAAAACCCAACAATTTGCTTTGTGGCTGCTCAGTGTGAAACACGCAACAAAACTTTCGCCTCATCCAGCGCAAAATTCAATGTCAAAAATACTGACCCCATGTAATGGCTCCCCACACGCTCAATTCTTCGTCTCCCTCCCACTGGCTGTACTGCACAGGGCCCTTCCTCACTCACCTCTCTGCAGAGCATGCAAAGAGCTGTCAGCCCTCACCCTCAACCCTAACCCACCCGACCCTAACCCTCACCCGGACCCT